TGCAGCTTAGCTAGCTTAATCGAGGAGTAACTCTCATCGCTCAAGACCAAAGCCGTTGAGAACACCCGCATCATGGCCTCCAAATCCTTAGTCAAAACCTGCCTCCGAGTAGCCCGATCCAAACCGAGGACCTTCCTGGCCTCCCCGACCGGTACGGCTGGCGACCGCGCACCGTGAAAAAAGCCAGGATGCTGATAGCACGACGGGATTAAGAAGCCCTCCTCAACGAACTCTGCCGTCAAGTCGACGAGGCCCTCCGGCTGATGAACCTTGGCCCATTTGGCAGCATGTTGAGATGAGGGGGACTAACTCCCCTGGGGTGACGATGAGGAACCCCCGCCTCCCTGATCAGAAGCAGCTTGCCTGGCCACCTGGGCAACCCGCGTTTTGCCAACTTTAACTGGAGCTCTGGTCGAAGCCAACCTCTTCACCCTCTTCTCGGCAGTAGACATACTTCCTGCAAAACAAAAGAAAAACATCAGCAAAAAAGTAAACAGTTGAGTGGGCAGGGGAAAAGAGAGACGACCACCACCTAGATAACTAAGGACATCCTCCTCCGTTGAGCACTCAAGCAGAGCCTTCGTGCTGATCAGCCTCGGTTTCTGGAAAACACGCCCCTCCCTATCACGGATGTATCTGTCGTCGGACGTCACGAGATTCGCCGGAGGTAGGATGGCCACGAACCCGACTATCCTCTGATAACCGACCAGGTCATCCTCACCGAGGATCCCTGCCCGCACGATAGACCGGTCACCCCTCGCGAAGTGCTCCTCAGTCCACTCCAAGGGCACCTTTGGGATTAAGACTTCCTCCCGCTGCCTGTTCACCACTCGCTCCTCTCGCCTATACAACGAGGAGCACGCCCTATGGGATATCGACTTCACAATGAAGAACCAGGCTTTGAAATCCCGGACAAAATCCATATATGTCCAAAAAAGTTTCTTCGGTTGCTTTAACGAGACCCACCCGTGCCGACCATCTACTGTCTGTTGTTGCAGGTGAAAAAGTCGGAAGAACAGCGACAACGTCGCCCCGATCTCCAGATACCGGCAGACAATCTCGAACGCGCGGACAAAGGCCACAATGTTAGGGTGCAGCTGTGAGAGGGATAACCGTAGCCAATCGAAGACCCCCAGTTGGAAGTCCGAGAACGACAGTCTGAGCCCGGCTTCCCGAAAGCAAAACTCATACATAGGAAAATGCATCTTCCCGAACAACAAGCAAATACGGTGATGCTCGCGCGGACGGTACGCCTGCCAATTTTGGGGGTCATCCCGACATCTATCCTCGACAGTGGCGAATGCACCATTCTCGCCATCCACGAAGTACAAAGGGGTAGTCAGAGGTTCCTTCGCCACCCATTCCTCGACCGACCGGACTGCGTTTTCAACGGTGGGCACCTCTAGCTCGTCGTCCACGTCCATAGTCCCTGGGACCAACGATGACATTAACACCTGAAAAGCAAAAGGAAACGATGAATTCGATGTCCGTGATCAAATTCACCCTTCCACCATAGACCAAGTGAAAGGGCGACGGGGACAACCTCGACGACGGGGAAACCTCCTCCAGACAAGCGCCCCCGAGGAGTTTGTCCCACGTTCCTCGACCTCCCAGGGAACACTCTTAAACCTACCAATCTCCCCGGGGGACTCATGGAATACCATTACCCGTCCCCGGGGCGCTCATCTAAAACTAGCATCTGTCCTCGGGAATTTCAAAACCTCACCCCTCACGACCTCAACGTATTCATCCCACTCCTAGAAAACGCCGCCTATTGCGGGTGACTTTCGCATCCCTCCTCGGATGGAACAGTGAAGATTCACCTTCGTCCTCGGGGCATTCAACACGCTCCGGTGGCAATTCAAAAACACAAAACGATAAAAGGCAAAGAGATGAGACTTACTGATTTATAGGTAACGACAGAGTGCACAACGGTTGGTGTGACGGAGATGTCGAGCAGGCACGAAAGAAGTAGTTGTCACGTGAGAAAGGAAGCAGAAGCGAAAAATATGGAATGGACAGGGGCTCACATACTTATACCCACAACACGAGACTCGAAGCGTCCATAGGCACTTGAGTGCCCTAGGATAGCCACCCCACCTGGCCTATCTAATGCTTGACACGTGGCTAAGGCTGTCAGTCGCGTCCCCTCACATCTCCCCGACAACAACCTTACGCCTCCCCGACAATGACGTCAGGGGCGCTTCCTCAGCATGGACACCCGACGCACCGAACCCTCCCGTGTTCGCAGCACATCCACGTCGGGCACATACATTTCCCTGTCACTGGTGCCCAACAGCAGCTTCTCCGACACACTCCCCCGCCTAAGCACGAGGTCGTCAAGTCCTCGCTCCCCCACCGCGGAGCTACGACTTGGGAGGCTCCTGTTCTAGCCTGGGCCCCCGCTTGGCCGGGAAGGCCCAACCCACTTATACTTGACGAAAGGCCCAAATGAGTTCTCCTCATCTGTGTCGAGCACAAGGCTTCCGTCGGCCAGGATTCCCGCCGGGCAGGACGCTCCCTCCCGTCGGGCAGAAAGACGTGCACCTCACACGTTCTCCACGTGCTCCCCTCTGCGGGGACACGTCACCAACCAACTCCGAAAGAGCAGGTCAAACCCACTTTCCAGAGATCACGGGATAATTGAACTAGGGCGAAGACTACGTCCTGGTCTTCACTACGCCACGTAAGCCCTAACAATCACTTGGGTTGGGCCTGGCCATCCAGCCCAACACAAATGACCGTTGGTCCTGCGCTGGGGTCTCTCTATAAATACCCTATTTCACAAGAGGGTCAGGTATTCAATTCCCATCCTCTTTTCTGTATTTGCTATCACTCTGCCCAATTCCTCACTTTGGCATCGAAGTGTCTTGCAGGCACACCCCCCTTCTCCTCTCCAACACCGGTGAACAGGCAGTAAGTCAAAGACGCATGACAGCCAACGATTCCCTTCTGGTAAGGTCAAATCACTAATTCATATCATTTTGTGATGAATTAATTAGGATACAACTGTCATAATACAAACAACTGCCTTTCAACGAACTGATATCTAAAGTTTCAGTGGTTCTTGAATTATTTGTAGGTTATCATCGGCTTCATCCCTAATAATCCAAATTTACCCTTTTTACCATAACAAAATCCATCAATAAAAGGATTAACATACTACTATACTCATTTTCATTTTGATTCTAAAAATCATTTTTACCTAAAGAGTACTAGAAAGAATATTTTAAAAAGGATCATGCTAACGAGTGTCCTAAGGACACTCTTTAAGCATTCTAAATAAAGAAAGTATTCTTTTAACAAGTTGGTGATTTCAATTTCTAATACATTAATTACACACATTTTCAAAAAAAACTTACTTTTTAAATCCTTTAATTAAAGAGTGTTCCTGGAACACTCCTTTCGATTTCCCTTATAAAAATTAGAAATTATAGATCTAAATAAACATCTTACTTGTGTTATATACTGAAACTTTAACTCTAAATAAATTAGGAGTATTCATAACAACATAAAATTAAACCACATTAATAATTTAATTAAATTTTTAATAATTACTTTAATAAAAACAATTAATTACTAAAATAATTATAGTTTATTACAAATTGCAACAGAAAATATTAGGAATTTCATGTGGCTTCTCAAGCATAATGGTATTCTAACTAATAGAAAAAAGAGCAAAATGAGATTGAGAAGTGCAATATGTCAGTATTGTGGAGATATGGAGGAAGACACGATTCATGTGTTTCGAGACTACTCGCTGACTATACCTCTTTGACAATCGGTGGTGCACATTAACATACCTTTGCTTTTTTTTAGGTGGTTAGATGATTGGATAGAAGTGAATATGCATTACAATATGGGCTGAAATGCTAATGTCGAGTGTAAATTTGTTTGGGCCACTGCGTGCTATAACTTATGGAGATGGCATAATAAGAAGAATCATATAGAGATGCTAGGGGAATTGTTGGATGTGGTGATATTATTAGAGGAAACGAAGGAGAGTGGATTGAAGGTTTCATAAAACATTCAGGTTTTTGTGAAATTTATATAGCTGAGTTGTGAGGTGTGTTAGAAGGTCTTCAGATGGCGACGAAGATGAGGTTCAATAGGATAGACATTTGTGTTGATTCGAAGCAGACGACTCATGATATAAATAATAGTTATTCTAGCAAATATCATGGGAAGGAAAATCATCAAAGCAATTAGGTCTTTTTTTTTTTATTGAAAATGATATCCAAGTGAAGTATATCTTTAGAGAATTTAATCAATATGCAAATACTCTCGCGAAGGAAAATATCCATATAACGAATTATTATTTTTTTAAACAGGTGTATCTAATCTTTGTGGAGCAATTGTATGAGAGGAATTTAGTAGAAATTTCTATTGTTAAACTTGCACTAGTGTAATATTTGTCTTGCTTTGGGTTAGGCACATCCTTGTATAAAAAAAAAATCAGTTTATAAACAAATTTTATATTATATTTTTTTTTATAAATTTTGTCTGTATTCAGAATTTTGACTTACATTTTTTATACTAAAAATACGATGATGATGTTTTGAACATAGTGACTGCGGATGAATCTCAACCATCCATTTGATTCTCTATAACGCATTTACAAGTTTCAAAACTGCACAATTAGATTTGAATCAAAGGTTCAAAATACCTTGATTGAACTGCACCGTATCCCGAATCCACGACGTTGTTGCAGTGCAGCTATATACTAGCAGAGTACTGGAACTACTAGATTCTCAATTAAAATAAAATAAAAAATAAAAGAAATAAAAATCAAAATAACAAGTAACAAAAAGTATATTCAATTTAATTCAGCAATAAAATGTTACATTAATTAAAAAATGGATGTGATAACCTTTGGAATCATAATCGCCGTTATCATATTGTTCTTAATAATCGTCTGCTACATCACAATTGAAGGCACTTGCAAGTCACGCTCTTAATTTAATCTTCTTTTTTTGCACCCGATTTTCAGTTCCATTGCAATGGCGTTGAGTATTAGTAGAAGTAGAAGAAAAAGAGTTGAATCGGCGTTACTTTTTTTCTTGTGTTTGTTTCTTTGCTCCTTTTTGGATCTGGTAACTGCACATCAAGGTCACTCGCATTCTGAATCTAGTAGTAATATCCATCATCATCACTGTGGTGGTGATGATCATCATCATCATCATGACCATCACCATGGTCATGATCATGATCATGGCCATGCTCGCCAGTCGATGCTTCCAGAGGAGTTAGCGGAAGAGGAGGATATGAAACTCTACGGGTTTGGTTTACCACATCACGACCTTCACTTTATTGGCTCCACTGAACTATCGGGTTTAGGTATTTTTCCCAAAATTTAGGGTTTATTATTTGATATTTTATGTGGTGTATTTACTTAATTTGTATTTTAGGGCTTTGGTTGAATGCACTGGGCTGTTCATTTCTGGTGAGTATGGCTTCCTTGATTTGCCTCATTATCCTGCCTGTAATTTTTGGTAAGCAGTTTCTATGTCATTTCGTTTCATGCAATACAAATTGTTAATTTCTCAATGTAAAATTCCTACTTACAGTACACAAATTTGAATAATACGGGTTATTCATCTGTTTCAGTTCAAGGGAAACCATCCAAGGCTGTTGTTGATTCATTGGCTTTATTTGGGGTCAGGTTTCTTCAAGCTCCTATCTTTGGTTTCACTATCTTGCTCTCTTTCAATTGCTCTTCTTTCATTAATAGACATCGCTATACAATTTGAATACTTTCTTTCACCTAAAATCCGTCCATCTATTGTGAAAAATCTAAAAATATATATATTCCGGCACTAAAATTGAGTGCTTGATGCTTGTCGTATGAGTGTCATATGAGTACCGAGCAATGACTTGTTTGAAAATCCACACGCAGCGGCCACTCCTTCAACCTAAAATGTCACTGTTACTGTGCCTACATAGAAAGAGACTGATAAGCTTTGCTTGACTTTCTTGTCTTTCCCGGGTTTTTTGTTTGTTTGTTTGTTTGATTCATCATATAGGAGCATGTATTTTTTTTCTTCTCTGCTTTAGTACTACCTAACTTCCTCCCCTATTTTTAACAAATTCTTTCACATTGATGACTATGATTACTCATAGCAAATGTTAGATTCTAGTAATTATGAATATGACCTCAGTTAGTGCCTCCGAACTAGGTTTGTTCTATTGCAGTTCTGATCACCCTAAAGTATTTTCTATGTCACATGAATTCCATTTTTCACTTTATGCGCACATTCCTATGTGCCACTTGCCTTCAATGTTAAAGGATCTCTCAGCGTGTTTTATATGTTCAGTTTCATGTCTTACATTGTTCAGTATTGAATCGAATGATAATGGCATTTCTTCTAAGATACCATAGTTTTTATTGCGTTAAGTTTGTCAGTAACTTAGTTAAATTTCTTCTACCTTTTCAACTTTTGTTTCTTGTTCACTTTTCTGCTCCATCCTCATTTACCATTTCTTCTTCAGGCAGGAGCTATGTTGGGGGATGCTTTTCTTCACCAACTACCGCATGCGTTTGGTATGCTATGCATCAGAACCTGTCTTCACATAAGTTTTTTTCTTCTTTAAAAATTGTTATCGTTTTGTCTACATACTTTATGATTGTTTTTAATTGTAGGTGGTGAACATTCCCATTCTCATAGCGACCATGCAGACCATGACCACGATGCTAGTTCTGGACATGGACATTCACATTCCTTAGCTGATCTTTCTACTGGAATGTCAATCCTGGGTTAGTAGTGATATGCATAATGTATCTTACAAATCATGTGTATTATTCACCTCGTATACATATATTTTGAATTATTGGCTTTCACTAACTAATTGCATGGAATAAGTTTTTATTTATCTTATCTTCATTTAGGTAATTAATAACTTAAGATCAGAGAAAGGAAGTACTTATACATTTTATGTTTTTGTGATTGATCTCTTTCATCTCTAAATCAGTGTTATTAATTGCAAATAGCGGAAAGTAAAAAATCTGCCATTTTAAGCCGACATATCCACCATAAAACGTCATGAACCGCCATCCTTCACAAATTGGCCATGGCGATTCGGTTGTAACGCCACCACAATCCACTGTGGCGTCGTAATGAGCGATATTTGACAACACTAGAGATTTCTCTTGTCAGTTTTTTATATTTTGAAATTGGTATTATTTGATGGTTTCTTAGAGCCACCCATTCTTATTATTTTTTCTGGTTCTTGCAGCTGGAATTGTACTCTTTCTTCTTGTGGAGAAGCTAGTGAGGTATGTCGAAGAGAACTCGGGAGGAGCCAATTCGTGGGGGCATGGACACCATCACCATAACCACAACAGCAAGAAAAAATTGAAAGATGATAATAATTCTGATGTCAACGATCAGTCACAGTCTATCAAACCAAAAAAAGAAAGATTGCTAGATGAGGGGAAAGAAGACAATGACGTATCACTTGACTCATCGAAGGGAGATAAGCTAGCTCAAACTGAATCTTCTCTTAGAAAGGTAAGATGAGCATTTCACTACACTTGACCGAGGTCGGAACATTATTGGTTAGGCTTGAGGCATTATTGATGTCACAGCTATGCTAGGACTTCTACTATTTAACATTGGTGTAATATCTGATGTTTGGCTAGTTGTGCTGATAGTTATTAAAGATAAGTAGGATAATAGGATAAGATAAGGAAAACTTCAACAGCCATAGTAGGTTTGCTATTAGACATATATAATTGCTTCATATCATTTGTAGTACTGTTTAGAGGTGAAACCCGAGCAGCTTATTTTCTTAGTCTGATTTAGCCTCATTTAGGTTGAAAGGTATATTGAAAATGATGACTGATGAGAAAAATCTAACTGACATATGATGTATGAATTCTTGCATTACAGAGAATTGGAAGCAATACAACCAAAGATGATAGTCTCAATGATAATGCTGAAGATAGCTCCTCTGATAATATCAAACCTTCAATTGTTAAAGAACCAGTTAGACCAGCAAGTAGTCTTGTGTTTGGCTATCTCAATCTTTTCTCTGATGGAGTTGTAAGTATTGACCTTTGTTTGTTTAATTGAAAAAAAGTTTTCCATTATTCATGCAAACTCTGTTAATATTGCAGCATAATTTCACTGATGGAATTGCATTAGGAAGTGCATTCATGCTTTATGGATCAGTTGGTGGCTGGTCTAGAACTCTGTTTTTGTTGGCACATGAAATTCCTCAAGAGGTTCAAATTCATCCTTATCCAATAACATACTCAGTTTGATGTCAATATTCATAACATTTTACCTCAGTGTCTCATTTAGTTAGGCATAACATAGATTGTAGAAGACAATTTACAAAAGGTATTAAAGTTTGTCTGTTTAATTTGATGACATGCAGCAAATATGTATGTTTGTTGTGTCCTACTATTTTATATGGTTATACTTCTTTCATTTTTCTTGTTGCTTGAACTAACATCAAATGCTTAGTTATTTTGGTTACTAATCTGAACAAGAAAAATTAGCTCAAGTTTAGCTGGAAGGCACTTCATTTTTCTTGTTGCTGATCATATTTAGTGCTTTTGATTTGGGTATTGAAAAATAGTTGATTTGCACATGTTTCAAGTAAACTTGCAAATATCATAACTATATTATTCCATTAGTTATTTGGCGGCCAATACATGTATCATCTATGTGAAATACTTATGTATTTTTAGATGCTTGGGTAGGATTCTCGTTGGAATACAAAGAAGTGTTATATAAATTATATAAATTTTAATTCCTAGTCAGTTAAAATGAAGATAATGTCATAATTACTTTGTAATCCTTATAATGGTTGAATCTGTTCGATGCTTTGAAAGATAACTTGCTTCCTGCATAAAAGATCAATTGTTATACGGATTCAGAAGTGATAAGGTGATTTAGGGAAAAAGAACACAAGGGTTAGAGAAATAAGGGAACATGGGTTCACCTTCCATGTTAATATTTCTTACAGCTAATTAGTAGTTACCAACATTTTGTCATGAAAAAGAGAGCTTCATGCTTACTTTTGCAACTATGATCAATCTAGCGTGAGATCCCATATATTAAGTATCTTGCTTTCATGACCAAGGTTTAAAATCTCGGTTGTAGTCACTGTCATGTCTAGATTCAGCGTACTGTTGCAATTATGACCAATCTAGCTTGAGATGCAAGATATTAAGTATCTTGCTTTCATGATCAAGGTCTTAAATCTCTGTCGCAGTCACTCGTGTCTCGATTCAGCTGATGTGATGGTTATTACGGTTTTGGTAGTCTCTTTTCAGAAAAAATATATATACAATATTAGGTTATATGATGTTTTAATTGGGGAAACAAAACTGCTGCAAGGGATCACCTTTTTACCATTTCTAACTTTGTTATTTGTCAATTTATAATGCTTTGGGTGTAGTAAACTGTTCCTTTTTCCCTCATACTTTTCTATACTGAATTAATTTTGTCATTATCTGTATTGCATTTTATATCTTCTGTTTCCAATCTTATTTGTTTTCCAACAGGAGTCTTAAGCATTTTGTTTCTTCTGCATACAGATTGGTGATTTTGGTATTTTGATAAGATCTGGTTTCAGCATACCAAAAGCTTTGTTCTTCAACTTTTTATCAGCACTTGTGGCACTTGCAGGCACTGCATTGGTGAGTGTTACCTTTCATTCAATAGGGAGATGTTTAATGGATTCCCAAACATCACATATGCATGCAACATTTAACCAAAATAGAAATGTACATATTGGTTCAAGTCTGGAATTCCTTAGTTTGCAGGTTGGATGTAAATTCCACTGTAAATCCTCAATGAGGTTGCATGAGATGTGCATGTGTCTCCCCTAATATAATTTTTATTAGCATAAAAAAAATAATGTGCATATTGACAATATTGTGTTCATGAATTTTGTCGATAGGACTCAAGTTACCTTATGAATCACATTGTATGCAAAATTAGTGACTGGAAGAGCTGATTTAAGTAAATGAGCATTGGGGAAACAAAAGGATAGTCCAGTTGCCTGTTTCAAAAAATGAAAATTTCAAAATATGTTTGTAACTAAATTAAAATCAGATTCTTAAATTCCCGTACCATATCCAAGCTATGATTTCTAAACTTTTTGGAACTTGTAAAACTTTAAAAGCTGTTTTACTTGAGGGAATTTGCCGATTGAGTCATTGGACAATTGTAAGTTTTGCATCTACAATTATTAGTATGTTCAAACAGAATGATATAATACATTTCTTCTTTTTGGTATAGGCTCTGCTTTGGGGGAAAGATCCTGGGCAGTCATCTCTGATTGAGGTGAGGAATGTTTCATGATGTACCTGTTGGTTTAGTTGTAAGCAAAGTTTGTTGGAACTGACTGTCTCCAATTTAACAGGGATTTACAGCAGGTGGATTTATATACATAGCCATTGCAGGAGTGCTTGCAGAAATGAATAGCAATGGGAAGACAACGTTTAGAAGTACGGCTGTCCATATAATCTCACTGACAATGGGCATGGCTGTTGCCCTTGGCATTTCCCTTATAGAATAAATTAAATGTTCTCTTAGGACTTGCATATGTAGGAAAAAAAATTCATTATAGGGAAGGTCAATCAAAGTAGAATGTTCAGGCTTAAACTTGCATTGATTCCTTAACCCTTACACACAGTAAACTTTGTATAATAGAAGTCTCCACAAACCGTTTGTTTATGTGTCAGATTATGTAGCAACATTTTTGCCTCTGTTGAGCTGTATAGCAGTCAAGATGCTTTCTTCTTTTGTATGCTCCTGAGATTAAAAAAAAACTGAATGTTTGATTGATATTGTACATGTTTTCCTTCTGTGTGTGTTATTTTCATTTGTCTTTTAAACAAAGGAAAGTTGATCTTCATGAATCTCACTCCACACATTTTTATGAGATGATGGCTTTGATTTTGAATTTCCATGCCTAGTATTTTAACAAGTAACTAGAACTCTACATAGGTAGCTCGATTGATGAGCTAAGGGATGCTAAAGGACTTCCAACCTTGAAAACTAACATAATTATTAACTCACTAACATTTGTATAAATAAATGAACAAAAACAAGTAACTATAATTGTGTAATCTGCTCATTTGAAAACACTTTAAAGTATAATAATGTCTTGACGAATAAAAAACATGAATGATACATTCTTTTTGACAACGACATATGATGAAAACATGGGGGCTCTTCATCCATCAATGCTTTGGCCCTGCTCTATTTTGAAGTTCTGATGCCTAGCTTATGATCAAAATGCATCACTCTCTGCATGTAATTTAGTTCTTTGTTAAGACTCAAACTTGTCCAATTGCTGAAGCACTTGAAAGATAGTGATATTCTGGGATTGTAAGGGAGGGAGACTTGGCATTCTCATCAATGGAGTCATCACAATGTCTCCTCCAGATCCATGCGTGAGAGTGTGATGCCTCTTTCGTACCCCTCGAGCCGGGGCATCTGTGTTGGTAGCAGCTGTTCTTCGTCCTGCACCAGATATCTCACCTCTCTTTCTTATGCTTTCTGTTTTCCTCTTTTCATGCATCCTTTCATCCTGCAAAAGTTATGTTTTTCATATGTTCATTATTTCCTCAACTTCAGAATGAACTGCAAAATACATTGAATAATGAATATAAACTCTCACCATTGTACCATTCTTATCCTTGCAGTATTATTATTTATTATTATATCGCAATTAAAGTACACCACATGAAATTTCTAATTTGGTCCCTTAGCCTAGTAACACATTATTATTTGAACATAACTAGAAGGCAAATTGCAGAAACATACCATGTGCAGGAAAGATAAAGTAATAAACATAAAGAACAATGCTGCATTGTTTAATATTCTTTACCATGCAAAACATGCTTTTGCCATCACAAAAGAATGAATAGCACATGCTTACACTAATGACTGAAGATTCAGGCATTGGACATTTCACAGGGCGATCTTCATCTGGTGGCTCCAAAGGGTGCTCCACTGGGAAGAAATCTGTGTTGTTATCAACCCTCAGATGAGGATGATGATACACTTCCATGATGATACTGCTCTGTGTAGTTGCAATAGTCTCATCTATTAAGGAAAACTCCATCTCCTTTTCTTCCTAAAATGTACAAAATTAGTATAATATCTTTCATGAATACATTATAGAATGAATGAAGAGAAGAAGAAAACTTACAAAGTGATCCCCACATGAAAATCCCATGAACATATATACTATAAGCAGACGCCAGAATGAAGCTGAGAAAATGTTGGTTTGTCTGTCTATGTAAGATTTATGTCTCTCTATGATAATGTGAGAGAGAGAGAGAGAGAAAGAGGAGAAGATATGAAAAGAGAAAGAGAGAGCATAAAAAGAAGGAGAGAGAGAGGCAAGGTGGGATCAGCTTGCACGGTTGAAGAGGAAGAAAGATTCCCATTGGGATTTTGGTATTGCTTTTGAAATTTTAACCTTTTGCTTTTTCTTCTGTTGGTTGTTTTGTTTTTACATGGGTCCTTGTCTCTTTTTTCTCCCTTCTTTTTAACAAGGCTAGCAGTGTAGTGAGCAGTATGGTTGAAAATCTCACCATCCTCTTTCTCTCCCACACACACTTTCTGCTTTTCCTTGATTTTGCAGGAGAAGGAAATAGGCAAAGGTTTTTGTGTTTGATGCTGTTACATTACACAATACTAGTATATTAAAGAGGAAATTAAAATGAAAGAAAGCATAGAAAAATGAGGTGAGGAGAAAGAGAAAGCAAGAGCCGAAAGCAAACATGTTATCTTTGTCTTTCAATTCACACTTTTCAATGCATTCCTAAAGTAAAGGCAATGCTGCTACGTATACCTAATATACTATACAATACTGTATCATAGAATTGTAGTAGTTTGCATGCATATCAAAGCTTGCTACATTATCTTACATATGTATACAGATTCATATACCAAAGTATACAATGCTGGATTATGTTGAGCTTCTTCACTCCAAGAGGGGCCACTTGAGAAATGTAAAGGCTATACTTACTCTGGTTGACAAAGGGACCACAAAACAAATACACATCACTTAATTCCTAGTCCAAACAAAAGCATACAAAATCTGTTAATTGTGTTTCTTACTTGTCTTTTGAATAGAGGGAAAAGTATAATCGAGGAGATTGTTTATATGTTTTTAGCTCTGATTTAGTGTTTTAGGTTTGATTAGTTTGCTTTATCTGTTTGCATCAGTAATGTGTCATGCTTTGTATTGATACTTGAATCATGAGATAACTCCATATTCTGGTTGTTAGGCCATTATTGTTTTGGGCTAGTCTGATAAAGGTATGGCATAGTAAGAATTTCTTAGTTCATCCCTTAATATTCTTAGGCATCTAGCAAAATTCATTTTATGCTCTCTGTTTCCGGATTTACATATTCGGACGCACCATTTTTTTCTTACGCTAAATGCTTCCGGAGACACATCTACGAAAAACGTTTCGTGAATTTATCTCCGAAATCTTATGAGAACATACTTTTTTTAAAAAAAATAATTAAATTTTGTTGGTCACATATGGAAATTAACGGTGGAGAACCACATGATGTAGCCACCAACGCAGCTTCAGTTTTTCGGCACTCTGGTCGTCCGAGCCTCATCAGGTACCATGTGCCTCTGGTAGTCGGCATAGATCTCCTTTATCTGCATAAGGGTCAAGCCGAGAGGAGCGGAGACAACTCGGTGTCTGGGAATGGTCTGAGTGTAGCCGAACTACCGCATGACGCGCTCGGGCAAATATGAAACAATGACGGTCAAACTACATGCCAACCATCCTGAGAATAGGGAAATGTCGTCAAACGGGCGCGTCACACGATGATCAGCATAGACGTCGTATTGGATGTCCTCAGCAGCCAGTCAATCGAGATAGACTCTATAAGGGTCGAACGCCTGGTTCCCCCTGAGCAGGAGAAAGGCACGGGCACACGACATTAAATTAGTGTAATCAGGCACACTCCCCCACCCGACGATCATGGGAAAGTGCTGGAATATCCAAGTCTGAAATGAAAATAAAAAACATCAGGATCGAGCATTATCATGAATATAAAATGAAAAGAAATGAAAAAAATTCGAAGGATATAAGATTGTTACCACAAGAAGTGCCACGCTCCATGTCACAATCCTGGTCTTCCACAGGAATCCCTCTCCCAGCTTCGAATACGTGTAAGTCAGGGTAGCTGCCCCCTAGTTGTACTCATGGATCCGTGTGGAATCCAACAAGTACTTTAGGTAAGCGACATTCATATATGTGGAAGAAGTGTCCACAAACAGTTGAGTGCCAACTAAAAATAAAAAATAACATCTTAGCACACGATGCCTGTGTATTTCAACCTAAGCTGGATCACCATCTGCCTGATGTAACACCCCGTTCCCAAAACACAATAAATGCAAATAAATCAAACAATTAAATATTAGAGTTAGCACACCAAACGGGATGTCACAGATGAAAACTCCACAAAATACTTCATTGAATACTTTTTCAAAAATATACAGCGGAATTCATCATATAGATACATATATACATCATATACACCATAATTGATCAAGTCAAAATATACAAACATATCCACCAAAAGGATTCATCAGACACGATACGCCACAGGGGCACACAAAATCATCAGATAACATAATAACTCCCTAGAGCCCCAGTGTTACGTATCAGAGCATCCCTACGACTCAACACGCCACAATCCAAGCTAGCTACGCACCTGGATTATCTGTACTTCCGAAGAAGCACATACCACAACAACAACAAGGGGTGAGAAATCACGATCAAAATATAACGGTAATAATGTACATGAATAAAAGGCAGTAAATCACACAATTACCATTCACATACATCGAACCGGACCTACTGTCCCACACCAACATAGCATATAAGACAATGCAACACATGCAACTCAACCCATGATATGCGGTACCGACTCACTGGTTCGTCAACCAAACTCAGGATATATCACATACGCTCCATCCGAGAAATGATTTATCCCTACCACGCTCCTCCTGAGCACAAACAATCAAACTCAGGATAGATCACATACACTCCATCAGAGCAATGATCTATCCCTACCACGCTCCTCCAGAGCACAAACTATCAAACTCAAGATAGATCACATACACTCCATCGGAGCAATGATCTATCCCTACCACCCCCTCTCCTTCGTAGTACGGGCAAATAAACCCAGGATAGATCGCATACACTCCATATGAGCAACGATCTATCCCTACCACACTCCATCTGAGCCCAAACATGCATCATGATATGTATACACTAATGCACAACAACAATTCACGCACACACAAGGTGCTCACGATCCATCCGATCACATTTCATCATACCTCATGTGTGTGTGTGTATATATATATATATATATATATATATATATATATATATATATATATATATATATATATATATATATATATATATATATATATATATATATATATATATATATATATATATATATATATATATATATATATATATATATATATATATATATATATATATATATATCACACATCAC